GATAAACGAGCCCACGTTTATCACCTATTGGTAGTTATTTGCATTTACGGTTTATTTACACCTGGTAAGATTCATTTCGACAAAAATTAAAATTTTCTTCTTGTAAAAGACACCTAAACTGAATAACTTGATCGATAACTTTTGACATGCTCGAATCTGAATTTTGTTAGTTGGACTAATTAGTGCGACTAGCTAGTCTACGTAGACTGTCAGTAACTCTCATCTACAAGAGTCAAACTAGTCAAAGAATTTCGGCGATAAAGGTTGGTACCGACGATAGTTTACGGAAAATCACTACGTACACAAGTATCTACGTATATTTAGCCGTGTCTCACCAATAATATATCGAGAGTACACATCTAAAACACTCACACACACACACACACACACACACACACACACACACACACACACACACACACACACACACACACACACACACACACACACACAGGCAGACATTAAATCTGCTTTATTGATCAAGGAAATGAGAAACAGAGAGACAGCGGGGATCAAATCTGAACCTGCCGAGGACTGAATAGATACAGGAAGGTTTATTATGACATGATGAAGAAACTGAAGCTCTTCTGCGACCTTGTGTGTGTGTGTGTGTGTGTGTGTGTGTGTGTGTGTGTGTGTGTGTGTGTGTGTGTGTGTGTGTGTGTGTGTGTGTGTGTGTGTGTGTGTGTGTGTGTGTGTTTATCTAGTCATGTGATCAGCGGAGAAAGCAGAGCCATTTCTTAGACAATACTCCCCTGTCTCTCATTCAAGGAGAGAAGCAAACACAGACGCAGATATTTAATGTCTGTTTATCTTAGAGGGAAATTATCTGTAAGTCAGATGTAGGAGATGTAATATTTGTTTATGTAACTGCTGTAGCCTCATAAAATACATAAACCCATTATAAAACCTTTTAATTTTGCCATTACAAGTTATGTAAAGACTTATAACTACACATGTTTCAAAACGAATCTTGTTGTTGTCTTAAAAACATTCCACAGACACAAAAAAACGTCTCAATAGCAGAATTGATTCATCTGATGCACGTATTTATTTATTTTTACCCAGACTGTTCCTTTGAGCTTGTCTTGTGAGGAAAGTCTTGATGAATTTCAATGAATGTAACTTTTACCAATTTTGTATACGGTAAACATGTTTTTTAGATTTTCAATAATAGAAGACATGCACTTTGACTTCCTGTGATATAAAATAATGCGCACATTTGCAAATTGGAATAAACAACAACATTTGAAATGCATTTTGTATGACTTCTTCAGATTGATTATGATAGGATAAAAGGTCTCCTTGATGTGATCTGTAGACTGCCTGTCACAAATGATATCTCTCTCTGTCGTGTGTTTGGTTTATCCAGGACATGAGTAACAGGGTAATAAGATTTTAGTCTGTAAGCCTTGGCTCTTTAAATGGTTTCTGCATCGACCCGTACTGATGTGTAAAAGATTCTCCCAGACAACCTGACCTTTGTTCTCTGTTTCTTCCCTACATCTGTCTTCCATGCTCAGTGTCATGTAAATGTCCCGTCTCCTCTTCTTCTTCTCCTGTGTCTCTGTGTCTCTGCAGCACGCTTCCTGTCTCTGTGCTACACACATCGTGGCTGTTGTCGTCACTTTGTATTTATAACCGGGTCGCTCCCAGCAGGCCTCTCGCCTCGCTGTGATTGGCTGGCAGACGCGGATGAGCCTTAATGGGCAACACTTCCCGTTCTCTTCACTTTTTCCCATCAGGAAATGGATCAGTCACAGCCAAAAGAATTTCATCATGCACTTTACAGGCACATTATACATATACACACACACACACACACACACACACACACACACACACACACACACACACACACACACACACACACACACACACACACACACACACACACACACACACACACACACACACACACACACACACACACTACTGACGTACGACTACTAGTAGTAGTAGTAGTAGTAGTATATTATTAGTTACGTACGTACGTACTACTACGTACGTACGTACGTACGTACGTAC